ATAAAATCAAGATTCTGTGATTCTCTTTAACTTTTATTTAATTGACAAAAGTACAAAGAAAAGACTTCCAATGTTTTCACTGACCAACGTAAATGTCTTTTGTAAATATGAACAAATTTTAGATTTTGACGGCTGCAACACACTCCAAAAAAGTTGGGACAGAGGCAAAATAAAAGTGAAAAGGTTATAGAATATCCACGTTAAACTGTTTTGAAACAGTAAGCAGGTGAATGGGTAATAGGTCAAGGTATCCTGTTTGAGTATAAAAGGAGCATCTCAGTCTTTGCAAGCAAAGCTGGACCATGGCTCATCACTTTGTGCCAAATTTCTCGAGAGAAGTGTCAAACAAATCAAAAATCACATTTCGCAATGCAAAATTGCAAAGAATTTAGGCCTTTTACCAAGTACCATACATAATATTGTGAAAAGATTCAGGGAATCCAGAGAAGTCACAGTACATGTAGGGAAAGGCAGGAAACCTCAGGTGAATGTGCTTGACCCTGGAGCCCTCAGATGGCACAGCATAAGAAACCGCCATGCTGCGGTGTTAAATATAGCCACATGGGCTCTGGATTACTTCAGAAAACTGCTGTCAATTAACAGTCTGCTGCTGCATCAAGAAATGCAACTTGAAAGCTATACATCAATTCTATGCAGCGATGCTGCCGGATTCTCTGGGCCAGAGCTCACCTCAGATAGTCAAAAAGACTGTACTCAGATGAGTCCACATTTCAACTTGTTTCTGGGGAAAATGGACATCGAGTTCTCAGTCCCAAAGACCAGAGGGAGCATCCTGACTTTCATTAGCAACAGAAGCAAAAGCAAACGTCTGTCATGGTATGGGAGTGCAGCAGAGCAAACAGCATGGGTGACTGCCATATGTGCGAAGGTGCTATTCACATGGAGGCATATATTGGGATTGTACAGAGATATATACTGCCTCTGTCCCAACTTTTTTGGAGTGTGTTGCAGCCGTCAAAATCAAAATTTTTTCATATTTACAAAATAAATTTACGTTGGTCAGTGAAAACTTTAGAAATCTTTTCTTTGTACTTTCGTCAATTAAATAAAAGTTAAAGAGAATTAACAAATCACATTCACACATCAGACAATCACACTCATTCTTGATTTTATTGCATTTTACAAAATGTCCCAACTTCTCTGGAATTGGAACTCTCCGTAGATTTCATCCTAAAAGTGTACGTACGCACAAAAGTTTTCAGATTTATAAAACCATTCGTACGCCAGAACCTGTGCAAAAATCCCTTTATAAATCCCAGTCAGGGGAAGATTGTGTGTACGTGCATCTCCACCCCGACTCCTCCCCGAAATAGCCATATATGGAGCTTGCAACGCCTAGTTTTACTATGCATAACCTCATCTGCATATCATTTCCATGCATATTCCCATCCACGTGACACCATGTTTAACACCGTCAAAAAGGAAATATGAGATACGGACTATAAATGTCATTTGTGCCAAACATTAATTTTTATTGCTAAAAATCTTCCAATATCCTTGTTATGTTTTAGAATAAATATATTAAAATATTCATAAAAACAAAACTGTTTTAAATAGTTTTCAGATAAATATTTTGGAATAAAGTTGATCTTGTTCTTTTACACTGGCCAAATAGCATTTCGGTTGTTTTAAACAATTCAAATCAAATTACATTTATGCAGTTTTGCTGATAAGGTGAACATATTATAGCTATTTTTAGTGGAAACAGATAGGCCTATATTTATTGCAGTGTAAATACAATTGTCTGACTCTGTGCGTCACTGACAAAGTATTTTAAAAAGGAAACGTGCAAATCTTACCATTTTCTTCAAGTTGTATCCTTCAAATACAGTGGTATTTTTCATAATGTTGTGGAGATGCCTTCGCACGACATCAACACCTCCGTGCAGCTGTGGTTGTACAGTAAAAGTTATTATCATTGGTCCTATTCAAATCAGACAATAGACCGTTCCACCGAATCCAGCAGTCCGCCATAATATCGAAGTAAGTGCGCATCTTTGATCATTGTTCTCACTAAAAAAAATTTTCTCATAACATGAGATCTGCAGTTTAGTTTAAAGATGAATTATTGTGCACCTAGCACTCCTCGCTGTCATCAAAACAAAATATATCTAAATTCATATAATTTTGTTTTAACTTTTGCATAATGACTTTATGTAATTTCAGTGCTTATCTCCATTATGAGAGTGGAATATTTAATGTAAATGTGTATATTTCAACATGAAATCAGAGTTTAAAATCGTTGTTTACTTCATTAATTTTCTCACTCCTGGAAAAAGAGTGCGTATGCATGGGTCAGAGTTTGCGTGCAGGTGCGCACATTTTCCCGTCAAGTTTGTTTTTATAAATCCCACCTTTTGCGTAGGAAGTGGCGTACGCCTCTTTCAGGGCAGGTTTTGTGCGTACGCAACGGTTATAAATGAGGCCCCAGGTCAGTCCATCTCGACTTTCTTAGTAGTACTAACTCAGACTGATTCCTGATGACCCTACAATGATTCGTTGCCTGGCGAGGGAAGTCATATGAGTTGCTGTGTGTCCAGAGCACCAACTTCAAATGGGAGAATGCAAATTGAATGAATCCATTGCCACTGCAAAATGAACTACAAAGTCACCTTGCCAGCCAGCAGATCAAATTTGTCTACAATCCACCTCACTTTGGCGGTTGCTTGAAGAGAGAGATTTGCTTGATCAACGCAGCCCTCAAAGTGACCATCGGACCCCAGACTGTCACTGAGGAGGTACTGAGAATATTTTTGATTGAGGTTGAAGGTATCCTCAACTCAAAGCCCCTTGGGTCTAGCTCCTCGGATATAGCTGACCTTGACCCGATGACCTGGGTATTACCTACCCAGTTTCCAAACTGGCCAGAAGTGGAAGACACTACAGATTAGTGGTGTGGCCATGATTGTCTATCCTGAACTTTCTCTCTTTTTTATACAGATTTATTTTGGGGGGTTTTGCCTTTATTATGACAGGACATTGTAGAGTTGGCAGGAAGCAAAGTGGGAGAGAGAGGGGGGCAGGATCGGGAAAGGTCCTTGAGCCGGGATTCAAACTCGGGATGCCCGTAGCACAATGGCACTATATGTTGGCGCGCTGCCCGCGAGGCTATTGGCGGCAATGATCCTGCACTTTCTTATGCCCTCTGGCTAGTAGGTAAGGTCACCCAGGTGTTCCCAGGCCCAGATGGCAGCCAGTGTGGACGTTAAAGGTAGGACTTACACACAAGTTGTGGCTTGACTCAATCAGATCCCAGCCTTACCTGGGCAGTGCATGATACTTGAGGGGTATAGAATATCTCTGTGCTTCTGTTTGTAGCAGAACTTTTTTAATTGAATTGTAAGGTGACTGAGCAGCAGGGAAACCCCAGCCATCTGAAGACACTGCATGGGATACTGTTTCCCAGAATGCAGTGCGCTCATGTGACGATTCATCTAAGTGTGAGTGAAGGCGGGGAATAGTAATTATAAATGTAACACTGTTATATGAACGTATACATATAGGCCTACATGTAAAGTACAAACAATCGCTGTGTATCTAAAAATAATATCGCTAGTAGGAGATAAATTCTACATGAATCTCTACGGCACGTTTCCAATCAAGTCAAATTACGCCACCTTTATCTCTATAGCGCTTTATACAGAACTGATCGTTTCAAATATATTAAATAATAATAATAATATTGCAGTAATATAATATATAAATATATATAAATAAAATATTTCAATTCCGCAAACAGAATTCAATTCCGCTGTAAAGCAGCTCTAAAAAAGAAACGTTGTGAAAGGACAAATAGACCAATTTGTTGGCAGAGGCTATTTACATGAACTCCGCCCACAAATGCCCGATAAACAGCACTGCAAAAGACGCCTGTTTATCTGTAGTATCCATTGATCTATATCGCTGGCGCACGCGACACGTGTGCTTCCGACGCGATCGACCCGAGTTCGAATCCGGCTTTAGTCAAACTCCTGCTTTTCCTTTTCCCATCACATACCAGATCAAAAAGGCATTTATTTTCAATAAAAATAAAGTAAATATTTGAAAAGTGGAAATAAAACGCCTCATTAATAATACAGTGTTATTAGGTATGCTTAGCTGTAGGTGTAGGGAGGCTTTTGTCCCAATAAAGTGACATGGCATTCATCTAATAAAATATATATGATCATTTACACTTAATATGTATTACATACTCTTTTATAATGTACTACAGTACTGAAGTATAAATATCTGCCACCTAACTATATTTACACACCTGTTGCTAAATAAAATTATGCTATTTTAGTGTAAACAGAATTTATCATTATTTGCACTTAGTGTAACTAGAATATATCGCTTTTTCCACTGCCAAAAATATCACTGTCCAGTTAAAGACAGCTCAGTGTTGATTCAGTTCCGACCAATATGTAAAGTCCACCAGTTAGTTCAAGTTGGCAATATAACATTGTTTACTAGTATGAATCCTTATTAACAAGCCTTAAAAAGAACGGTTAGCACATTTGTTTGTAAGATAACAACCTTGACAGCTGTGCTGAATTATTTATGTTCAGCGTTTGTCATGTGACGACACTGTTGCTTGTTGTATGTTTCACACACTATATAAATAGTAGGCAGATGCACTGGGCAGTAAGCAGTAGGCTAAGCAGTAAGCAAGCATGCCATTGCGAACACAGCCATAGACTTGCCGTCATGAGCCAGGTGAGAATACTGATGCTTGTCAGATAGTGACTTTGATTTTTGTATTATTCAGGAGCACCTTTAACATCAAAGAGTTTAAGTTCGGTAATGTAAAATGGATAGCTTGAATGTACTGTAAATTGATTTGTGCGAAGGCGTCCGCTAAATACATGAATGTAAATGAATTATTAATGCGGAAGTCGGTGACCTTTTGAAGGAGGCGCCGAAATTCCGGTGATGTGCGTCACCAAAACCCCACCCGCCCCCAGCGCGAGCGCAGCGGTCTGATCTGATAGACTCAACTCTACTCTACTCTACTCTACTCTACTCTGACGCGCTGTCTGCTGCTGTTTCGCCGTGACCGGCTTCGTTGGATAATGTACACCTAAAAAGAGGTTCATGTTGTTATTTCGCAGCCATGTACAGATCGTCGTTTGTCGCTCGTGTAGTTTTGCTGTTTGTTTCGTTTAAATGGTCGTTCTCCACACGGGACAGTCTCAAAGTCCGACAGGTGAGCGTGGCTTTCTTCTAGAGGTACACAGTAGCGCAGTGTGGACTAATGACGGAAAGCTCAGCATACAGTGTGTTCAGTATTATACGCGAGTGTTGATGATTAAATCACGTTGTTGTGAGAGCTAGCCCATGTGTTTGCAGGTAAACCTCGCGTGCTACAGCCCACCCGCGGAGACCCCTCACACACCAGCTGCTGTTCATCTACTCAAACTCCACAGCTTCCTTTCAAGTGTCTTAAGAAGCAGGAAAAACACATACATACTTGACTCATATGCGTCCAGTCCAAACATTTTGGAGTTATTCAATTTTGTTAAGTTTAAAATTGTATTTATTTATTTATTTTTAAATCTATGAATGCATGTATTTAAAGCGGTGAGCTAGAGCAGGCAATGATGGCCCAGCACACGTGGATGCAGACCACTGCTTAAAAAGCATCTCAAGATGCATCTCATGAAATTGAGGAGTGAGCAGATACTTCCAGTTATGTTGTTTCATAGGTTTTCTGATGACTTTACTGTTACTCTAAACTGTGGAAAATGGTAATGATGCTATTGCTCAGAAACTTTTACACATTGCTGACTCAAATATCCGATACTGGACACATTTCTATATTTTTTACTATATAACTTCAGTCCTATAAAAGCTGCTTGAATGTGTTAATCAACTCTTAAGCTGGTGAGCATGCTGAGGCACTTTACTACAGATTTGTCTCGGGTACGGTGCATTGAGCATGTGTTAACAGAGCCGTCTCTGTTACTCGTTGTAGGAAGACACGGGTAACTCAGAGAGGAAAACGAAGGGGAGGTTTTGGTCTTCTTCAAATTCCCCCTTGAGTGTATTTGTAGAGCTATGAGTGTGTTAATGTTAGCCCATGGAAGTTATATGCAAAAAAAGTTGTCACATAAAGGAAAAAAGTAGCGTAAATCGCTAAGTTCTGTATGACGAGCAAAAGCCCCTGCTCCGTATTAACTGCTAAGAGGTGAAGGTACGGCAGGAATAGACAGTCACTTGCTGTCTTTTATTTTCTCTGTTGTAGACCTCTTACATACATTACATATAATCCTCTTACAGTTACTGCTCTCATAAAAATATTACTTAATTATATTACATTCAGGATTCCATTTTAATGTAGCAAATAAAGCACAAAAACATGTGTTCATGCGCTGCCTCTGTTGTGCTCAGTGATGTTTTTGAAGTTTAAGAGGGATTTGCTTGCTGTTGGATCAGCCTTTTTACAAGATGGGAACACTAACATTTGCAGTGTTTAAAGATAACAGTTACAGTGCATGCTCTCAGACAGCACTCACAAACCCAAAGAATCAGTGATGCAAAAATGAATGAAATAAATCAAAAGTTTGAGTACTTTTTAATGGTCTCTTGAAGGTTTCGTTCATATGTTGGTTGTCTGCGCCTCAAACTGTGTGAACAATAGTGTGAAAGCTGCATATGAGCATCATCAAGGCTGTGTGGCTAAAGACGGCGTAGAAACAGCAGGTCAGGTTTCTATCAGTTTTGTGGAGATGCACTTATTTGGCCAAGTGTTTGTTGTGGGCTCTATCTGGTTGTGTGAAGTGGCAGGCTTTGCTAAACACTACAGCTCTTTGTTTCCAGCGGCGTACAGAGATGTTTGTACAATGATGAAATGATTACCTTAGCATGAATTACATTTAGAATCCGCACGTTAATGTCATTTTTAATGGTATGTGTGTGGACAATATTTTGGGATGACTGTTCATGTGAGGAGGTTAGTTCTGTGTCTGGATCTCAGTTTTTATTTGGATCTGTTGTTAGTGTTATGAAAACTGGCCATCATAAAGCTGAGAATAAGAAGGGAAATAGTGAAGAGTTCAAATCATTCTGCAGAAGTAGTCAGACTAAAGTAGAAAGATGTCACTTTAAACAAGTGGTGGAAAGGGAAAAACTTACAATTATTATATTTCAGTATGGATTTATAAAAGCAATAAAGTGCTAAATGTTCAGCTGGATTGTGAATATAGTAATTGCAGAATGGGCCTAAAAATTAACTGAAGTTTTTATATATATAATCCTAGTAAAATAGTAATATATTTAAAATCCATTTATTTCATACTAAGTATATAGTTCAAATATATTAACATATTTACTGTCATATTGCTCAAGACTTTATTTATGCACAATGCACATTTCTTATTAAGACTAAAATGTGTTTTAGCATCACTATCAATAAGGATTGCACAATCGCTTTATAATATCAGTCTTTAAATGCAATTAATTTAAAGTGTAGCTGAAGTATACTTGCAACAGTTCCACTTTAGCACAATCAAATATACTTCAGTATATCTTAAGTTGGACCTCAGCACTACTTCCACACAATTAAAGTGCATTAAGCACAAAATTAGTTGTTCCAATTTAACAGACTTTTAGTATACCAGTTTAGTATACTAAAAGTACAATTGCAGGGTATTTTTATTAAGCACATAAATATGAAAATGTATTTGTAGTATACTTAGCATGAAATAAATGTATTTCAAATATGTTTTAGTATATTTATTTTCTCTAGGGAAGCTATATTGGATATTTATTAGATCACTCTCCCGTCAGAAGATATCCATATAAAACCAGTCAACATAAAATAAAAAGCAAAGATGAATATTAGGAAATAAAAAGACACAAAACAAGATGTCTGTTTTCTGGCTGTCTCACACACACACACACACACACTCTCACTCTCACACTCTCGTGCACACACGCACACACTCGCACACACTCTCACACACGCACACACACACACATACACACGCACACACAGAGGTTGTTGTGAAGTACTTCTACTAGATGATAAGATCTCTGAACTAAACTCATTTTAACACACACTATTGTATAGCTGACATTGATGCATCATCTGTAGAGATGCTTCTCTTTTTACATTCTTAAACAATGCTCAAGTGCGAGAATTTTGAACTTCAGCTAAATCTTTCTCTTTTCTCTCTCTCTCTCTAAAGGAATGGAGTGGTGCTGGCACACACATGCACGCACGCACTCTCGCACGCACACGCACACACTCTTGCACACACACTCTCGCACACACACACGCACACACATACACACGCACACACAGAGGTTGTTGTGAAGTACTTCTACTAGATGATAAGATCTCTGAACTAAACTCATTTTAACACACACTATTGTGTAGCTGACATTGATGCATCATCTGTAGAGATGCTTCTCTTTTTACATTCTTAAACAATGCTCAAGTGCGAGAATTTTGAACTTCAGCTAAATCTTTCTCTTTTCTCTCTCTCTCTCTAAAGGAATGGAGTGGTGCTGGTAAGTCATGACACAATACATCACTTCATAATGTCTACATTGTTACTTTTAGTGTTTCACATCCACACTGTATACCTGTACGGTAAAGTAAGAAGTTTAAATGGCCACATTCAAGGAAGCATTATGTGTTTCTGCATGTCAAAACAATTTTCTTGTTTTATTCTGAGCAAACGTTTGATTTTGATATTTCATTGTTTGGCTGACTGGCGTTAGCTTGGTCGTGGTCTCTAAAGACATTCACTCACTCCAAAGAGCTGTGTTTTTATGTATTCAAACCCCTTCCTTCATACAGTGTGAGAAAATAATCCACTTTTACTGTAAACTGTCATTTGTACTAAAGCCAAAGGAAGTGATTTCAGACTTGATTTTCAATGATTTTCAAACAAGACTTGAGCTGAAAGATGACACTGTTGTCTTCTGGAGAGCTGCTTTATAATAATTGACACATTTTGCAGCATTAACACTGTTACTGAACTGAACTGAAGCAACATTAACCTGACTCAAGTAACACTGTTATTTTCCTGTCACTGTGAAGAGGCTTTAAAACCAACTGTATTTATATAGTGCTACAGAAATGAAGTTGGCTTGACTTCTGCTCACTATTAGAGTTCTGCTAAGTGAATCAAATAAATCATGATGACTCCCGTGATTTCTCATTCCTGACGTTCTCCTTCAGAAAGCAGAATGAGATGGTAATAATGTCAGATTCAGTAGCTAAATGTCTCCGCTCCTCAGTGTAATGGTCCAAAAACTTTTTTAGACTGCTGTTGTGTGTGATGCAGCTTTCTGAAATCTTGCTAGTTAGTGCAATAATGATGCATATATTTAGCTGACATTAAATGTAGGAAAAATCGATCATTGGCTGACGCCTGTCCTCTTTTGCTTGTTTGTGTTGTGTTGGACTGAACAGAGCGAGGGCTGCCTGAGCTGAGACTCTGGACGCTGCGCTGGCAGGACCAGCTGGACGTGTGTGTCCGTGTGCGGCTCTCCGTCCGTCCTCTGCGTATGTACAACACCACAGCTCGTCTGCTCGGTGATCACAGCGACTGACTGACTGACTGAGCTCACCACTCTGTCCTGTGTTTGTAGAGGCAAACGAATCGCTGACGATTGAGTTGAGCGACTCTGAGACGGGTGACTCCTACACGCTGCTCATGTGGGAACGGAGCAGCACTCTCAGGGTACGTCTGTGGTCGATTTCTTCATTAGATTTAGCATAGACCAGTTCCAACTTTTCATTTATCATCGTTTGTTTATGTAACTGTGTAATCAGTTGCATGACAAATAGCTCTCTGCAACTGAATGAAAATAAAACCAAAGTGCTTCTACTGGGTCCTGCTGCTATTAAAACACAGTTAGGTTTCTTAAGTAGTAACCTACACAATCATGCAACAAATCTTCTCCAATTTGACAAGCATGTAAATGCAGTTGTAAAGAGTAGCTTTTTTTCATCTCAGATCAGTGGCAAAAGTGAAGCGCCTTCTTTCTAGTAAAGACCTTGAAATTGTAGTTCATGCACTAATTTCCTCTCGATTGGATTAATGCAGCTCTTTGTACATTGCATTACCTGCGTCTCGGTTACAGATGGTTCAAAATGCAGCAGCCAGATTGTTAACAGGAACCAAGAAAAGGGATCATATCTCCCCTGTCCTTGCCTCATTGCACTGGCTCCCTATAACATTTTAAAATCCTTCTTTTTACATACAAGGCATTGCATAATTCTGCCCCGGATTATATTTGTGATGTGATCTTATTAGGCCATATACAGCTTCTAGGTCATTAAGATCTTGTTATCTGTCCACCGTTCTCGTTGGAAAACAAAAGTTGATCCAGCTTTCTCAGTAGTTGCCCCAAAGCTGTGGAACAGTCTTCTCCATCTTCTCCATCACTGGATGCTTTTAAATCCAGCTTGAAGACTTACTCTCTAGTATTTGAGTGATGCTGTGTATCTACTTTGAGTAGTTGAATTGGTGTTTTATGTATGTACATTTTAATTGTTTTGATACTTGTTTTTATTTTCCTTTGTCTTTTTCCCCCACTTTCCTTTTCTCCTATAAATTCAGATTTATTTTTATTGTAAAGCATTTTCCATCAACTACGGTTGTGTTAAACTTGTGCTCTGAAAATAAAATTAGCCTTGCCTTGTTTGCAAGCTGACTTGCTTCACAAAACACTAATGGCATTTATTATTTTTGCTAGTGGAGCTGGAGTGTTTCATTTCACACCGTGTGGTTTAGTTCATGGGTTTCAAGGCTGAATGTATGTCACGCTCCACCAAAGGAGGATTTGATGAAGTTGATGATTGATGTGCCACAGAACATATGAAAGTGTTTTTTCTTCCTCGTTGATGAACCTATTTATTTAGTTATCTTAAATGCATATATAGTTATAGAATTAGTTGCGTGTTATTATTTGCATTTATCATTGATTTTTGCTCTGCTGTCCGTGATCAGTGCAATTCTGTGGCCTGTTTTTGGATCACAATCCACCTTTCGAGAACCGCTGGACTAGTAAATGCAGCAGGTCATTTAAAATGAATGTTTTATTGGTTTACAGAAATGAGTAGTGATGCATTGATGCTCACTTCAGGATAGTTCACACTGATAGTGAGAAAGTCAGGTAATCGTATCCAGCTGAATGAGGTGTTGGCACATGTGATCTTTATTGTCTGCAATGACATTGGTAGAGAAAATTGCATATAGGTTTCGTCATTCATTCGTCATGCGAGCACTGTAGTGTCAGCCACCTGTGCTTGCACCCGAGGTCAAATGGAGAATACTTTGAACGGCTAGAGTGTACAACAATACACATACACTAGCATTTGTGTAAAAAAAAACAAAAAACTCTTACAATATATGTGCTAAATTTTCCTCTAAATTTGAATTCAGCTGTGTTTTACTGCTGCTCTCAGTCAGTGTGAAGTCTTCTTTAAGCTAAACTGAATCTGGGGCATTGTAATGATTGTATTTTCTCCTTCACCAGTGGATCAGCAGTAGTGGCGATCCGTGGCTTCAACCTCGCAAAGCTAAAATTCAGAAGCATGTAACGACCGTGACGTCCCATCAGGCCTTTGTGAGTGAGCGCTCGCGTTCCTTCACACGTGTTGTTGACTCAATCTGAAGCGTGTTTGCAGTGGTTTTAGCTGTGATTGTCTGTCGCCCTCCAGTGGATTGTGAGGTATGACTGTTTCCCAGCCCAGCCTGGATCCACCGTCAGCGTGTCCGTTCACAGCCACAGTCGTGTGCTCATCAGCACGTCTTACGTCGTAGAGCACACAGGTCTGTCTCTCTCTCTCTGTACTACTCTCATAATGTCAGAACACAGCAAAGCAGCTGCATTCACATCTGCTGTTTTCCATGTGTGTTTCTGATCCTCACACTGACGATCCAGTGCCCAAAGCCAGTGTCACGGTGGATGAACATGCTAAACGCTTCAGTGTACGAATGGAAACAGACCACAGTGAAGTGGAGATCAGCCTGTGCTACAACAATTCACACGCAGTGTGTGAAGGAATTTATTTTAGTACGGTGGGTGAAATATGTCATCATACTTTATATAAGATCTACATTTTTGAGAAGGTAGACTTCATAATAAAAACTCATTCTCATTTATATGCTAATTTGATCACTGCATAATTTTACATTCTATTAAAAGTATTTATACATCAAGCAAGAATCCATTGTGCTAATTTATGCTTGTTTACCTAAATATTTCTCATTGTGAAAAATTTACTGTACGGTCTCACATGACATACACAGTGTTTCCGTAGATTAATATACGATTTCTCAAATGACTGAATAATGTAAGAAGCTGTGGCCATCATAAAGTGTATAAATCTTCAATAAGCCATTGAGGTGTTGTGTTTGTGTTGCAGACTGAAGCGAAGGTTAAAACCTTCAATCTGAGCTTCCCCTACCTGATACCTTGTGTCTGTGTGCAGGTGTGCTGCTCTTCACATTCTCACACACACACACACTTTGTTGTTTTTGAAAATGTTTTCCTCCTTATAAATGTATGTATTATTCTGTGTTCACAGCTGTGGTTTCCAGGCCCTGATTCCAGAAGAAACACACAGTGTCCCTTAAAAGAGAAAGCGCTGCCACGTGAGTCAATGATATTTGTGGAAGCAACACTTAGTGTGAAGATCATGCGCAGTATATATAGAATAGATATTATTAGCGCTGACGTGCAAAGAAATAATTGAACTGATAACTCAACCAGAACCTCATGTCAGCTCCTCCATAGGAGAGAAATTAATCGAGCCTGATCCAAATGAAATCCCTATTCAACAGACGGGTGCAGTGCAGACTGTAAAGAATAAAATGTCACTACGTTTGGTAAAGTGAATGTGCAGTGTGACTCTCTCGCATGTTGCGTAGCAGATACGCATTTTGACCTCAAAGTACACTGGTACGATTTGTCACTCTAAACTACGCAAAAAAACCTGGAGCATCTTCCCTTGTAATGACTAAACCTTTTGTCCAACAACAAAAAAGAACATTATAACATTCTTTTACTGCACAACATCAGACAAATATTTAAAATAATTTCCCTCTTGATCTGATGTGGCTTCTTATCACAGAATGACGCAGAAATAAATTCTACACTGGAATAACGGGCTAAGTCGATTAGCAGTGGATTATAAATATAACGTTACTTAATTGTTAAAATACTCGAGGTGGTTTTAAGAACACAGATAAATATTGTCGCAGTACAGTGTTTTTTTTAATGTCATCATTCAAAGCGTTTCTGTCTTCTTTCATTCAGTTACAGCGATAGCTGGCTGTTTTTGTCCATATTAGGGATTTCCTGGAGCGTCCTGAGTTCTATTTCTTCGGTGATGCATATGTGGATTTTCTGCGCGAGGGCGCCCTCAGGCGTCCAGTGTGAATGAAACACACATTACATGTGTTCATAGCACTAAATAATGGCCAATCCATAAAAATAATACTTCTTTTTTTAAATAGCATTTAAAAATAGCAAAAAAAGAACTAAAGCAAAAAATGTGGTAACATTTTTTTTAAACTGAGGTATTTATTGAACCGTGGGCTAACTG